TTGCTGTGGGGCAGCCCGGTGGTTCCCTCCTCCCCTCCTTCATATGAGTAGCTACCCTTTTGGGGTCCTCTATCTCCCTACCCGCTTTTGCGCTACCCCTTCTTCCCTCGCTGTCCGTATCCCCCACCTCCTTTTTCTTCCCCCCATTCCCCTCGTCGGCCCCTTCCTCCTTGCCCCCATATCTATTTCTTCCATGACTCGGGCGTGCCGGGGTTGCAGGGTGGGGTGGTCGGGCCGCCGCTGCTAGCGCGGGGCAGCTCGGTGGCTTATTCCCCCCTCCCTCGTATACGAGCGAGTAACTACCCGTCTGGGGCCCTCTTCCTCCCTACCGGTCTTCGCACCTCCCCCTCTTCTTCTCCCGCTGATCGTATCCCCTGCATCTTCCTTCTCCTTTCCTTTATTCTCCCTGCCGGTCCCCTTCTCCTTGCCCCCGTGCCTATCTCCTCCCTGGCTCGGACCTGCCGGGGTTGCAGGGTGGGGTGGTCGGGCTGTCGCCGCTAGCGTGGGGTGGCTCGGTGACTTGTTCCTCCCCTCTTCCGCGTGTGAGCGAGTAACTACCCGTCCGGGGCCCTCCTCCTCCCTACCGGCCTTCGCGCTCCTCCCTCCTCTTTCCCGGCTGACCGCGTCTCCCGCATCCTCTTTCCCCTTTCTTTCATTCTCCTTGTTGGCCCCCTTCTCCTTCCCCTTACCCTCATACCTATCTCCTCCATGGTTCGGGCATGCCACCGCCAGCGTGGGGCAGTTCGGTGACCTATGCCGCCCCTCTTTCATGTGTGAACGGGTAACTACCCATTTAGGGCCCTCCTCCTCCCTGCCAGCCTTCACACTTCCCCCTCTTCTTCTTTCCCCACTGATCGTATCCTTCACATCCTCTTTCTCCTTTCCTCTCTTCCCCTCATCGTCTCCTTTCCCCTTTTGCCTGCACCCATCACCTCTATTGATGCCACCCTGTCTAGGTCGTATCCTCCCCTCTTCCTGTCTATCATTCCTAGCTCGGTCGCTGGCTCCCAGGGGGTTGTCCCGTGCTTCCCGTTGTCTCCAGCACGGCGGCACTGCGGAACGGGGCGATCGGGTTGCAGGGCGTCCTAGAGGGCTCCTCCTCCTCTCTCTCGTACGTGAACGGGTTATCATCCCCCTCCTGGGGTCTCCCTCCTCTCTGTCCGCCTCCGTCCTATCGTCTCCGTATGGTTCAATCTCGGCCAGGCCGTCACGACCACTCCTCGCTCTGATGTCTCCGCCCCCCATCAAGGGTATTCGGGGGCCCCCCTCCTCCATCATCGTCCCGTCAGTGCACGCCCCCCCGGGCGCCCCGGATGTTGGGGGGCAGTTGGGGGGGTGGAAGCAGCATTCCTCCCAAAGTGCCCTCTGTTGATTCCATCAGCGCTCTCGACGTTCCATTGCAACATTTCCAGCCGGATGGGGGGTTGCCACCTGTGCTCCAAGCCCTCAGCGCTAAATGCGCTGGACAGAGATCCACATGTCGGTTTATTGAATCCCTGTCTGAGAGCCAAGCCTCCTTAAGCAAACGTCCCCCTTTCGTGCCGTCGTTAGCCAGTATACGCACATTGTCGAAGTCGAACCGATGGCCAGACTCCGCCATGTGCGCCCATATTTGAGAGTAACTCTCGCCCCGTTTTATTGCCAGCTTATGTTCGTGGACCCTAGTTCTCACCCTCTTCGAGGTCTCCCCAACATAGTTGCTGGAACAGTCCCTGCAGTCGATTCTGTATATGACTGCTGACTTCTCCATGTTGGGGAGCGGGTCCTTGGGGCGCATGGCTACGGCACGAAGTGTCCAGTTGGGTCTGTGTGCAACCTTCACATTGTGTGGCGCTAGTATCCTCGCTGTGGCCTCTGAAAAATTGCAGATGTACGGGAGGGTAACTAACGACTGTGGCGTCAAATCTTCCGTCCGCTGACCTACTCTGGGTTCAGGTGGTGTGCTATGGCGCCTAACGAACCTTACTGGGTACCCGTTGCACTTGCACACCCGGAAGAGGTAGTCCCTCTCCTCTTTCTGCACTCTGCTCGTACTACAGTGGGAATAGATCCGTTTAAACAGGGTTCTGACGCAGCTGACCTTATGGGCCACCGGATGGTTGCTCTGATAGTGGAGGATCCTATCCATGTGCGTTGGTTTCCAGTATACCCTTGTGTTCAAAGATCCATCTGGTTGCTGATGGACCAATACATCCAGGAACACCAGGGTGCCCTGGCTCTCCTCCTCCATTGTAAACTGGATGTCAGGGTATACCGAATTAAGCACACCCATAAAGTCAGCTTTCTGGTGTTTCTTGACGACCGCAAACGTGTCATCAACGTAGCGGGCCCAGAACTTGGGCTGGTACTGGGCCATCGCTACGGATTCAAACTGTTGGAGCACCACCTCTGCCACTACGCTGGAAATCGGGGACCCCATAGGCGTCCCTTTGATTTGCTCGAACATGGTACCTTGGAAGGTGAAGTAAGTTCTTAAGCATACCTCCACCAACCTTATCAGGTCCTCAGTTCGAAGGGAATCCTGCTGCTGTTCCGGGTGCCTTCGGCTCAAGCAATCCCTTAGCGTTGCGACCCGCAAGGTCCTGAGGGATGGAGGTGAAGAGGGAGATGACATCAAAGGACACCATCACCTCATCCTCCTCCACCCTCAGGGTCTTGATTCTGCCCAGAAACTCCTCCGCCGACTTTACTGTAGTGGTGCTATCGTTGGTCAGATAGTTGATGTGGCCACTCAGCCACTTGGCCAATTCCGAGGTGGGGGTGCCCCTGAATGCCATGATAGGGCGGAGGGGAATGCCTGCCTTATGGATTTTAGGCAGTCCATAGAACCTGGCCAGCGCCGAGTCGCTGGGGCGTATCCTCCTCAGAATGTCCTCCCCCAATCTTTTACTCCGTTTTAGGCCATCCAGCAGTTTGTTGCTTTAATTCCTGAGCGTGGTCATGGGGTCCTTATCAACCACCCTATATGCTGTTCTATCCTGAAGCAGTTCCAGTGCCTTGTTCGTATATGCCACCCTGTCCATCACAACCGTGGCCCTCCCCTTGTCCGCTGGAAGTACGGCGATGGAGTTATGCCTCTTGAGTTGTTCTAGAGCCTCCATCTCCTGTTTGGACAACGTCTGGTATGGTTTGTGGTTTACCAGCAAGCCAGCGACCTGCTGCCTGAGTGCGTTCCTGGCTTCCTTCCCTCCCCCAATACGGAGCATCGTGGGTTCCAGCGCTGCTATAAAGTCCAATGCATGCGCATCCGTGAGATTGTATCCCGCGTCCCTCTGCAATAGGGCGAGCTGTGGTCTAGTTAGCGTCTTTGTAGACAGGTTGCAAACCAGTCTATCGGTGAAACCACTATCGTCCAGCTCCCGCAGGCCATCAATCCTGCGTTGGAACGTCCCCATCATATGCTGGCTTCTCCTCCTGGATGATTGTTGGATATGCCGGTCAAGTGCCTGGAAATGATGGTTAGTCAGTTCTACACTGCACCTTTCCCGGCAATCCCGAACCCACATCTTCAAGCCGTCTATGCACCTGTGTTGGTCATTAATAAGTGCATACATGGTGCGGCGCTGGAATCGACGGACTGCCTGCTGGCACTCCGAGGAGTCGACGGCGGGTTTCCTCCTTAGTGACTTCGGGGGTAGACCCTCTTTGATGCAATTATGCAGGAACGCCAGCTTGCAATAGTTTGTCGAGATGCGGTGTGCCAGCCTCTCCCATTTTCTGGCCATGAGCAGTACTGCTCTATCGTATTTGTTGATAATTACACTAAAAACATGATCCCTGGGTGCATCCATGCCAGTGATAAATAAATAAAAGTAAACACCAGGGTAAAATCATCAAACTATAAGAGTTTAATGTCACTACACATACGCCAAGCTTTTGTCAGCGTCCTGCTGACATCATCAGGGCTTAGACAGCCAGTCCATGGGAGAGTCTTTTATAGGTCGAACGAGGCCTGCACACGGCCCCTGGACCTCGTTACCAGTCCTAATTGCACCAGCTCGTTACCAGTCCTAATTGCACCAGCATTTGCTCGCGGGCTGGGGGTAGGTAGGACACTTCCCCTTCCTACTCTCCTCGATCGTATCCCCTGCCCCGCCTGCCCGTGTGGTCCTGCGCTCTTGTTCTTTGCATTGGTCGAGCCCACCTGGCTCGGAATACCCATTCCCTTTCCTGGGCTCCCACTGGCTTTAGCCACCTCGCTGTCATTCTCACGGGCATTTCCCCCTCTTTTTCCTACGATTGCGCCTCCCGTGTCCCCTATGCCTCCCCGCACTCCGCCCCTGTCGTTCTTCCACTCATCCCACCTGGGCCGGCTAGGCTCACCTTCCCCCTTCACCTCCTCTTTCCCTTTATTCTCTTCGTTGGCCCTCTTCTCAACCCCGTATCCGTCCCCTTGCCAGTGCCATCCTGTCCGGATCGTGTCCTCTCCTTTCCCTGTCTACCGTTCTTAGCCCGGTCGCTGGCTCCCGGAGGGGTGCCCCATGCTTTTAGTTGACTCGGGCCGGGTGGTGGCCGGGTCGCTGCCACTACCGAGGGGCAGCTTGGTGGTTTCCTCCTCTCCTCCTTCATATGCGATCAAGTGGGGTGGGGTGGTCGGGCTGCCACCATTGCCGTGGGGCGGCCCGGTGGTTCCCTCCTCCCCTCCTTCATATGAGTAGCTACCCTTTTGGGGTCCTCTATCTCCCTACCCGCTTTTGCGCTACCCCTTCTTCCCTCGCTGTCCGTATCCCCCACCTCCTTTTTCTTCCCTCCATTCCCCTCATCGGCCCCTTCCTCCTTGCCCCCATATCTATCAATTCCATGACTTGGGCGTGCCGGGGTTGCAGGGTGGGGTGGTTGGGCCGCCGCCACTAGCGCGGGGCGGCTCAGTGGCTTATTCCCCCCTCCCTCGTATACGAGCGAGTAACTACCCATCTGGGGCCCTCTTCCTCCCTACCGGTCTTCGCACCTCCCCCTCTTCTTCTCCCGCTGATCGTATCCCCTGCATCTTCCTTCTCCTTTCCTTTATTCTCCCTGCCGGTCCCCTTCTCCTTGCCCCCGTGCCTATCTCCTCCCTGGCTCGGACCTGCCGGGGTTGCAGGGTGGGGTGGTCGGGCTGTCGCTGCTAGCATGGGGTGGCTCTGTGACTTGTTCCTCCCCTCTTCCACGTGTGAGCGAGTAACTACCCATCCGGGGCCCTCCTCCTCCCTACCGGCCTTCGGGTTTTCTCCCGCATAGAGTTAGAAGTGTCTTAGCGACGTTTTGACGAAGTCACATTCGTCATCTTCAGGCTGGTGTCTTCAGCTTCGTGCTTCTGGGAGTAGTCCCAGAAGCACGAAGTCCCAGAAGCACGAAGCTGAAGACACCAGCCTGAAGATGACGAATGTGACTTCGTCGAAATGTCGCCAAGACACTTCTAACTCTACGCGGGAGAAAACCCGAATAACTAAAGATATATATATATATATCACAAATTGTAAGACCACCAGCCTGAAGATGATGAATGGGACTTCGTTGAAACGTCGCCAAGACACTTCCAATTTTACACGGGAGAGAACCCGAATGACCAAAGACCTACATATATATAT